ATGTATTGGCGCACGTGACTATAGAGTAGGTTTCGAATGAGAAAGCGGTTGTGTATAATTTACATTTCATTATCACGTTTTCAGATAGGGATCCATGTCACCCAAATCCTTGCGTTAACGGAAAATGCGTGGCTACATCGGACGGRTTCGTCTGTCGCTGTTCATTGGGTTTTAAAGGAGAGAAATGTGCAGGTAAAGACAAATTCCTTCGAAAATTTATTACCGAAAACTCAATTCAACCCTAACCTCAGAACTGAACGAAGAAGATAAACGAACTTTTGACGAAGTAATAAACGACTTCAAACAAAAGCATTCCAATTTGATCGAATGCCAATTTTATTTTTCTAGAGGAGGACGAATGTCAACCAAACCCTTGTCATAATGGCGGACGGTGCGTCAATCGCTATATTGGAGGAAAGGGATTTGATTGTCTGTGTACTGACGGCTTCAAAGGGACAACATGTAAAGGTACGTACATTTGCCTTTCCGTATCTGATTAGACCTCTGAAGCTTTTACGTCATACATGTACCGTATACGCAATGCATTGTAGGATATAGAGCGGATTTCGTATGAGTGGGAAACCGTTACCGCACGGTTACCGCACAGTTACCGGACCTGGCCTGCACAATTTTGGTGAACCAATGGGGCACTAGAATTTGGTTACAGTACGATTACGGTCACAGTACAGTACCGTCCATTCCCCACTCATACGAAATCCGCTCTAGACCTCCGAAGCTTTGTACCGTATACGCAATGCATTGTAGGATATGTTTGGGCCAAAAAATGGAGGATATTTTTGAAAACAAGTAATCCCACAATGCATTGGAAATCAAGTAGTGACGCAAAAGGCTTAGAAGTCTACTGCATGTTACGAGAACAAAAAAAACCTACCATACTTTACGGAGATGAGAGAAGAGACTGCACACAAAATATAAATTAAAATAAGCTAGAATTATTCCTTTGCTGTTCGCCGTGAGTTATAGGAAGGACAAAAGCTAATTAAACACTTGATTCAGGGCGCAACAGAACCGCACATTAAGATTCAAACAATTTTCCGCGAAACGAAATCGAAATAATTGAATATCGAAGCAAAAAAATGCTTATCGCAGAATGATAAATTTTGCAYCGCAAATAATAGAAAAATGTCAATTCGTTAAAAAATCTTAACAAAAAAATACAGTTTATTTTCATTGCGATGAAAAAGTTTAGTTCAAACGATCTCAAACGATACTATTATTTATCGCACGTAAGTGTTAACACAAAATGTACTCTGAAAATGTTTCTTTTTTCAAATATCCCTGATTCCATATCGTTATTTTTTTCTAGAGAGAGACGCTTGTCATCCTAACCCCTGCTCTAATCATGGCGTATGCAGCGAGGTAGGAGGAGGCATTGTTTGTAACTGCTCGCAAGGATACAAAGGCTTAACTTGCGAAGGTATGTAGTCTATATTACCAAACAACCTTTATATAACAAGCGTTCTGATTGGTAACTAAGAATGATTAATAAAGTGAACGTGCACACTTTATTTTGCATTATATAAAATTATAGAAGCATTTGCTTGCTGTGTTTAATCGAGCTATGAAGCACTTCGGAAAATGCAACACGGGAAGAACTTAACTACGTTATGCATTTATGCCAGAAACCTTTAGCATTTTGCTAAATAACTCTAAAAACATAAAATAATGCACCCCACTCCCACCACGCATACCTTTGCTATTTCTCTCCATTGAATATCCCACAAACCACCATAGATCAATAGTAGACATTCAAAAGAAAAATATATAAGTTATAGTAACATACCTTCTCAGATACCAGCAATCAGATCAAAACTCTTTCTTTTGATTTACTTCAACCATATCTCTGCATTTGGTATTTACAATGTTCTTGGGGCAGGCTCTTTTTCCCTTCCAACCAACTGCAAGTAGAGACTATAAGAGAAAAGATAGTTTGATATATTGTCTGAATCACAGTTCCCTGTTCCATCTTGACAGCTAGCTGTGCCTTTGCATGACAGAAACATTCATTCACACCTACAGACAATTATTCACAGATGCCAATTATTGCATGCTCAGCGGTCATCTCGCTTTGAAGCAAAGGCATGGCTACCTTTCAAGGAGACTATTCTAGGACTTTCACAGTAATTAGTAATAACATAGCTTATTGTCATCATTCATTCTAGAGCTGGACAAGTGTCACCCCAATCCCTGTCGCCATGGTGGCATGTGTGAAGAGGTGGTTGGTGGTCGTGGATATGTATGTAAATGTTCACAGAGTTACAAGGGGTTCAACTGTGAAGGTATAGTATACAAACTAACCAATCATGTACAACTATTCCAAGCAAGCTTGACTGTGGTTATAACCCAGGGTGACCCCTTTGGTAGGATGACCCTCCTCATAATAGCAACCCATGTAGACAGTGACTAAATATACCAATTTTAAAAACAGCTCGAGACAGAATCACACCTAAACAGGTCATGAAAGAGCCAAAGAGAAACTAATGTGTTTTTCACCATTAATTTGGTTATATGTAATATCTGTCATATTTTCAGTCAAAGACCGTTGTCATCCCAACCCTTGTCTACATGATGGGTACTGTTTGGAGATTAATAATGATGTTGGGTTTATGTGCAACTGTTCTTTTGGTTATCGAGGGTCCCACTGTCAAGGTATTCATCTATAATGATTATTATGATAATGATATTCATATCTGATAATAAAAATGTTCCAACATTCAACAAATTGCGCAGGCATCTTGTTTTGTATGTTTTCTCTTATTGAAACAGTTGTTATGTCTCAAAATGAGTTCACTGTAATGTCTTGGATAACTTTATGACATTGAATACCACATGAAACTTACCAAAGAAAAAGCATTTTGTTTCAATGAGTATGTGTAAGAATATGAACACAGTGTGAATATCCTGCTAATGACAGACACTTATCAGCCAATAATTGTGCGAGAATAACCTTATTACTTATGTACTTAATATAATAGTGTAAGTCATGGTACCCAGGCTTTGCCCCAAAAAAATAAATTCAGCATTATTCATCATTATCGGTATAAAAGAGATAAATAACAGTTATGAATTTTTAAACTTKTGTTAAATGTTTTAAAACATCAATATACGAATTAGAAAATAGAAAACATAAGTTAAGTTAGTAAGCTTATATAACCGCTTTATTAACATTCTTAACTTACTGATGTTCCGACTGCAAACGACACATAACACTTTGTGTTCTCTTTGAYTTTAGACCTAGATCCATGCCATCCCAATCCTTGTGGTCATTCTGGTAGCTGCTTACATACTTCTGATGGTGGATTTGTTTGCAATTGTACCATTGGATTCAAAGGCGAACACTGTCAAGGTTAGTTCKTCACTTCGTTTGTTGACTTTCTTTACGACCGGTCTCGATATGTATGCATCATATTTTTGGACTATCAAGCAATTGGCAGCTCTCCAAAGCTACAGAATTCATTAATCCACACGATTTTTCCTCCAATCTTTGATTTATAGAGAGATATTTATCAAAACACTTGCAGAATTTGTAGCAAAGTCCGCCATCTTGAAATKACTGTTTACACTGGTAACCTGGCCCTTATAGACACAGGAAACCCAACCGTTAACAAAAACTATTTTCTTATCTTTCTTATGTCGCAAATCTGTTTTAGAAAAAGACCTTTGTAAGCCAAATCCGTGTCAATTTGCCGACAAATGCCAGCAAACRGGAACGGAGACATATCAATGCGTGAAAAACGTTTGTGATCCCAACCCATGTCAACATGGTGGCAAATGCATCGAGGTCAACGACGAACACTTCCARTGTGCATGTCCAAAGAATTTTGGTGGCAGAACTTGCAATAGTAAGTYTTATAACAAATAGACTTTATGGCCTTGAGAAAYTCGATGTTTATGTTTCCGGGAGAGATCTGAAATGGGACGAAATTCATTGCCCAAGCCGAGTGTGGTTCATCGATCCATGTTCTTACCCAATCACATATCAGGATCAGAATTTTGATCATCTTTATAATTAGCAAAAGTACTGCGCAATCTTCCGTAACTATATAGACAAGTTTGTAAGTGAATACCATTGACACAGTGACRWATGARCAATCTGTGSGATCGTTAATAATAAATAGATARCCCAAAAGAAATTCAACGGGAATCGAACTCATGACCTCCGCAAGACCGRGGAAGCGCTCTACCAAAGCCTGAGTCTAACTGTTTTCACGAACGTTCRTTTTATTCTCAGGTTTAAACTGTGGTTAGTAGATGTATGTGAAATATGATGGTCGCAGTGAAATAAGAGCRATCTATGAGATTGTTAATAATAAATGGGTATCCCTTTTAACTGTGACGATCATATTTCACTTACTCTATTCAAGGCAGTTCAGACCATAATTTCAACAATTAATATGTTTTTTCTTTACCTTCTTCTAGTTCTATCGGAAAGCGGAGCCGACCGCCAACATGTACCTGCAAGATCAGGTTAGAGTTTGTTATAAGATTTTGTATTCTTGAAAATATATGTCAACAACTAGCCATTCAAGTTACGCCGACCTGACTACTTTGGTCTAGAGCTCTCGCGGTTTGATTCCAGWTTGCAGTCAGTTATGTTGCGTGATTTTGAGTTCGTTCATTCYCTTGCTCCAAGAGGTGGCAAGTGCCGCGGTTGAAGTTGTCTTATTTTATTTATTGACAGATCCGTGTCAGTCAACTCCCTGCCAAAACGATGGAGTTTGCGAAGTTCGCGATAGCAAATTTTCCTGCAATTGCATCAACGGCTTCACGGGAAGACAATGTCAAATAAGTAAGTCATAGAATTATCAAATTGATGGCAATATAACCATTGTGATACTATCAAAAGTTATAACGGATTACGGAAGAGAAGGAGAGCTAAGAATAATGACAATTACCCTAATTTGATTAAGAAGATCGTTATTTTATGCGTTTTGTCTTAGAACCCTTGCCAAGACCTACGGCCGCCAAACCAACCGGTAAGAAACCAATYACTAAATCACAGTGATTAAGATTATAATGTATAATCTATGCCTTTCAAATGAATTAATATTTTGTGCTACTTTTATAAGATTTGTGTTCTCCATCACCGTGTAAAAATAATGGAATATGTGTACAAGAAGAAGARGGCTACAGCTGCTCTTGCAAGTCTGGTTTTACAGGATTTCATTGCCAAGGTGCAGTAAATATAACAAATGAAATGCTCCATTAAAAATCATTTCCAACCACTTACAACTCTTTTTTTTTCAGTCGACCCATGTAAATTCAATCCTTGCAATAATAATGGCAAGTGCATCAGAGATGGTAAAGCCACCGACGGATTCAAGTGTCGCTGTTTGCATGGATTTGTTGGGAAGCGCTGTGAAGGTAAAAAACAATATCAACTGACCTACARAAACATCTAGCACACGTACGAGTGGAATTAATGACAGCTTTAAATAATTTGCGGCTTTTGGATCACCATTTTTTAACTAAATTAGCGTTTACCTGTAAACAACSCAAGGGCGGGTCCAGGATTTTCMTCAGGTAKGGGTGCGGGGCWCTCAGGAATGGATGCACCCMACAAAAATCATTACCATGAAGATACAAAATAAGGAAAGWATTGAAGGATACAGATCTCAGGAGGGGRTGCRCTCCCCCTGCAYCCACCAGCTGGATCCGCCCCTRCAACGATGGTTAATTTTAAAAGTAAACCAGATGTACGCAGACTGTTTTGTAACGRAGGAATGGMTGGAATCTGGGTTTTCTCCAGAGAGCAAAATGGATGACCGGAGAAATATTGATTGAGTTGGGGAAAAACCGTCCTGAGGAAATCAATATCTAAGTATATTTAATACAATATTACACTTTAAATAACACTTGAAAACCGCTTTAAAAAAAACATTAAAGTCATTACTATTCATTTGATAATATACGTCTGTTTGCAGAGAATTACTGCCTCCCAAACCCGTGTCACAACAACGGTYTATGCGTATCGATAGCAAACAAAGGCTACCAATGCAAGTGCCGCGAAGGCTTTACTGGGGGCCGCTGCGAACGTAAGATCCTTCTAAACCTATTAGACATATGTTGATTAGCTAAGAGGTACATCAAAAATCTAGTGTGCGGCTTGTGTAAAATCATGACATATCATGTCAACAAACAGATGAAAATATCCTGAACGCGCGCACAAGAGGTTCAGAGAGAATTAATTTACGACAGAATAATATCTAGATATAGCCTGTGTACAGCCTGTGATCAACGTTCTCTCCCCGATATTTTGGGAGGGGTGAGAAACGGATGTACACAGGCTAATCTAGATATGTCAGGTCGATGGACATTATTGGTAATTTTSTAAATATCGACGGACTTGTTTTGGTTCATAGGTAACCCATGCTCTCCTAACCCGTGTAAAAATGGCGGTTCTTGCTTGGTCTTTTATACGGTATATTTATGCAAATGTCCAGCTGATTACAGAGGAACACAATGCGAAGGTAATACGGCAATACCAAAAAGCAATAAACACGAAAACACACAGCAGCATCGATTATGAAGGATTATTATATTTAATGGATACCTTATCATTTTCATTCGTATGGCAAGAAGCTTGAATAAATTTTATTCCCTCACCATGAATACTAGATTCTATTCAACGATGATTCACGCATTTAAWTTGCAGTCACACTTGCCAATAAACATAACGCAGATCAAGTTCCTGGAGTAAGAAAAGCAGTAACTAGTCGACCAGCAATTAATGGATCRTCAACTCCTAAAAAAGGTAAGCTGCATTTCTCAAAAGAGTACATAAAGATGGTATACAAGTTGTGATTCTCTTTCCATGGAAGAGGGCCTTAATCGAGTTGCACCTCTTAACATTACGATTCCTATAATCTTTCATTCTTTATTGATTCCCTTCCCTTCGCCTTTCCTTACTTCTATCTCTTTTCCTCTTCTCCTCGCTTGATCCTTYCAAGATCACAACGTATTCCTGCTTGATCTCGTCAGAAACTGCGAAGTGCATGAATATAATGTTAATATAACTGACTTAACTTTGAACAGTCGACTACTGACACTGCATGTGTTTACCAACTAGCATCAAAGTGCAGCTCTAACCCTTGTAAGAACAATGCTCTTTGTCTTGACACCATTGGCGGAGACTTTGAGTGTGTCTGCCGAGGCGACTTCTCTGGTCCAAAGTGTGAAGGTTTGACAGACTGACTGACTTACACTACTATTCCTACTCATATACTAACTTAATTAAATCCTAGTCTATGATAAGATGATATAAACACACAGACGAATGCATGTTGTAAATAAATAAAAAAATATGAGAGTGCAGAGGATACAGGGGAAGATGCATGGGTTAGAAATGTACATATTGCATTAAAGTAACTCGAGTTGCTTCAGGAACTTATAATTTAGATATAATCATGGGCAACCAGCAACTAGAAACAGAACAAGAGCTGTCCTCCACAGGAATTTTGAACAGCGGAATAAATTAAACAGAATCCCAGTATTCAACACTCAACATTCTTTGAAGCTCCTGTATATATAGAGATTGTAAATAACCTATAATCATTTTTTATTACTAACATTACTGACCTTCACAGATATTGGTGTTTACAAATAYTCCTCTGCACCGAAATTTTTTCCTGGCCCAGGAGGTAAGAAAATCTGGATAACAATCAATTAATTTAATTATAAGTTAAAATTGATAAAATGAATAATTGATACGTTGATTAATTAATTGATTAAATCCTTAATTTGATATATTGGCATACAAATGACATTGTCAATCTCCAATTTACTTTTAGAGGAATGCAAGCATTGCGATCGTAACGCACACTGTGTTGGTGGTCACTGYATATGTAAGGATGGATTTGTTGGCGATGGCTTGGATTGTTGGAGTAAGTACATACCATGTGCAACACACACCTTTAAGCCTTCATCTCATACACCTTACACAAAGTACCAAAGATTATTTTCTTGATGATAAAGAATAGTTTTCATCAAAATCAGCTCTAAGAAATATTTCAACATAAACTCAATGAAAGTCCAGTTTAAGCGAAAGGTAATACTGCATTGGTATTATCCACACAGGTTCAAACGGAAAATATATTATATTAGATACTTTGATTCTGAACATAAAATGACCCGTTGCTATTTTGCAGAACAAACAGAAGACGACCTAGCATGGAAATGCGAAATCAATCCATGCTCAAATGGTGGAACATGTAAACCAGGCATCGCACAATGTGTTTGTAGACTTGGTTATAGTGGAAAGTACTGYGAAGGTAAAGGATTCTTACTGATTAAGCAAAGTATGAATGCCTAATTCAAAAGGCAGTTACAATATATACACGATATACCTGACTTGATGATTGACTGGTTTGGGGTAYAACCGCCAMAAAGACATTCATRCTTTTCSAGGTCACATTCAAAATCAAACCCAAAATCTCATCTTTACACAGATTATACTATTGCTAATTAAGTTAAATTAYACTTTTTTTCTAACTACAGAAACAGTGTTTCCAATCATCCATCTCAGCTTTGATAGAGTATCAGGTGGAACGTTGGTGGATGATTCAGGGAATCACAACAATGCTTATCTTGCAAACGGGGCCCAGATCGTCCCTCACAGTGGAAAATGCAACAACGCTGCGAATCTACTAGGTAAAGCCATTTGCAATGCGCAGCTGACGTTACACGTTTCAAGTCCCTTATAGGTTTCTGAACATACTAAATGCTTTTTTTCAAAATGCACGAAAATCATTTTTCTCAAAATTACGGTGGTTTTCTATCTCAGCATAATATTGCTAAAAATGCCAATGACGCAAGGAGCTTAATTTCTTTTTTTTTTTTTCTATTTTAGGTGGAGATATTTTTCTCGATGGGCCAAATTTCCAGCCAATCCCAAGAACTGGAATTACAATAGCAACATGGGTAAAACTTGACACTCCCTTCGGGGTCCAGTCAATCTTTGATACCGTAGGTAGCCCTCAGTCTGAGAACAGAGAAGGCCAATATCATTTGGAAATCAACGACGGCCGGATAAGATGGTTTCATCGTGATKCTAACAACAGAGTCATATTCAAAGCATTTAGCAAAAGTGAAGTTGTTCAAGAGGGAAAGTGGATTCATATAGCGGCAACGTACAGCTCATTCAAGAATCGGGCAAGGGTATGTAAGCATGCATGCGAGGAAGAGATAACAGCCTGAAATGAAAATGCCGAGCATAAGTAGCATAAGCTAATTGTCGTTCATTGAAGAGACAAGTCAATGAAGGTTATTAAAACTCCCATCGTTATGYATACCCATTTTTCCATAGATCTTTATAAATGGTGATATGGTAGCAGAGGCTTATGGACAAGGTCTTCTGTCAGAAGATTGGCAAGGAAAAGTCGGCATAGGTAACACGCATAGTGCGCATTAGAACGGGGTGCCAGAGATCCTGAAAAAGGAAAATAGTAATGATTTTGAGGGGGAAAATGGTAATGACAATGGGTTTTACTTTAAGAGATCAAATGAAAATGCGTATGGGTATGACTATATACTAACATTGGAGGCTTTTCGTTTGGAGGCTTTTCGTTTGATGTTAACATGCTAAAACGTAAACGTTACAACTATTAGTATTTGACAGTCTTTTACATTTAGGTAAGCACCAGCATGAGTTTGGAAGCCGTTTACTTCGTGGTATGGTTGAYGAGTTCTTCATTTTCCCTGGTGAACTTCCACGACTTGAAATTCTTGTTCTCATGAGACATTGCAAAGTCTATTTTAGTAAGTAATGATGATACTTAGTTCTGAACAGAAATCATACTGGAAATTTCAGTAGTTTAGAGTGATTTCTCTTCTTTTCTTTTTTTCCCACAGAAAATGAAAAGCCAAAAAGCAAGAGACCCCAACCAGCCCAATCTTCGAATGGAAAAACCGACAACAGAGGTGCAAGACCAAGACCTAATGATATTACAAACACATTTACTTTGGGTCCTCCAAGAATTACTCCACCAGAACGCCTTCCACAACCAAAAAGACTTCCACCACCGCTTCCACTTCCGCCGCCCCGACCGCCACCACAGACTGCATTCAGAGATCCGGAGTATGAGTCAAATCAAAATGAAATGGCTAAACTTGAAAGAATCCTTGAAAGCTTTGAGGTTAAGAACCCTGGGGAGTCAAATAGCAATGAAGAAGGCTTAGGAATTTCCAGAAACAAGCCCATGACCATGGCTTATTATCCAGAAAGAACAGGAAGCAGACCTTTGGCTTCCGCCCAGCCACATGATGATTTAGGAGGTTTGCGTTTTATGCCGGAACCGATGGTAACTAGTGTTGTACCACAACAAGGTGRTAGAAGACGGCCTTCTCAGGATATCCATGCATTAGGGCAAACTAGGACCGCCCCAAGGAAATATTATACAGGGAATCCAGCRCKCAAACCTGCCAGGTACCAGAACCCACCAGCACAATACAATCCATTTCTATCATATCGAAAAGCATCAAGATATCAACCACAAACGGCATACCGATCTCGTCCTCCTTACAGACCGTTTTCTACTTATCGTACGCCCCCTCCATACCGAGGAGCAGCTTCAAACCAGCCACCACCACACAGGATACCTTYCCAAACATCTAAAGGAYATCTTGGTGTCAATGCTCCTARTAAAATTACTTTCGACAATTATCAAACTTTCTCCCAGGAGACATYTGGAAATAATGCCAAGCCTCCTCAGCAAAAATGGCAGACACCAAAAGCTCAAAYGCAATGGTCTGCTCAGGCTCAAACATACAGGAATCCCATGTATAGACCTCCATTGACAAATGGAAATGCTGTTCAGCGTTCTCGAAGGCCTTACTYSWACTTCTTCCCGGCGCCAATGAATACCGCTATTTCTTATTCGGTTAAACAGCCAGCTGCACCCTCCCAARGAAAAATCTCTTTGACTTCAAGAATGGGATCMCCTTTGAYATACAACAATGGAATGTATAGCGGAKCACAACCGTATTCAAATATCAATAGTCCAGTAGCTCCAAATAATATTGGCAGACCATATCAATATCAGTCGTATAATAGACCTGAGCATATAATGGCTGCTAGGAAAGGAAKCGTGAATAGATGGGAAGCCCCTGCGACCCAARCACCGCAAAAATATAATGGATATTCTTACCCCATGTTTCAAGGTGGAGCTCGAGGATATGCTTCATATCAGCCCCAGGCATCCAATCAGATGTATTATTATAATTACTACAATGGGCAACCAAAGTMTCAGCCTCAAGCACCACTAKTGCGTACAGTGCAACGMMCATACCAGGTACCGTACAATAATGCTARGATGACAGTTACACAAAATGACAAGAACCKATACAACACTGGGACAAYTGCACCAATTGATGCGTCAACTCTATCAACCCAGCTGGCTGGACAGAACATTAACCCGAAAAATTACTATGCATTTAAACTTAAATCTGAATCRACACAAGATAACRAAATATCCTACAAAAATGCACTAAGRACATTAGGCACAAAACTAAATGAACTTGAAAAAGATAGAAAACTAAACCTTCAGCCAGAACAAATCAATTATGTCRTGGGTTTACTGGGTGAGGGGCTGACTGAGATGGAACAAAAACGCAACTCAGAGAGACTACAACCAAACTTGATGGACAATGCTCGATTAATGAGCAGAAACACGATATTACACCCACTTGACTCATCTAGTAATATCTACAGTCTTCTCTATCCAAATAACCAACAAACAAATCCCTACTCTCCTTACTTACATGGAGTGCTWAAACGTAAAAAGAAAAATGTCAAAACTGACAAGACAAGCAGACGCCGAAAGCGAAAGTCAAAAAGACATGCTAGAAAAAAGGTTTTCGCCAWAAAGAAGGTCCCACGTAATAAATGAATTATCAAAAAAAATGAAAACAAAGACTTCTTCCAAAAGAGAAATGATTTAGAAATTGAAATCTTTGAAAATATAGATTCCATTTGGGTTGAGAACCATCCTGGTTTTATTGCCCCTTTTATACAAGATTCTTGCATAAGTGCATGCCACTCGTCCAAAATATAAATTCCAAAAGTCGCCACCATATTCTGAATTGGGCAATGAGCATTAAAAGCATGATTTTAATTTTAATTTTAAAAAATTATTTTTTGTATAAAACGCTTTGTGGAACCTTTGTAAAATTGTATTGAGAATGTATATCCKAACGAAATGAGCTTGCGCATGCACTTCAATGTATATAGAGCACAAACAATATCATGTAAATAAAATTCAACAGCTTAGACAATTTKGGAGTGATCAACTTTTCTGCGCTTTGCACAATATTTTCTCCATGAGACGTAATGCAAATGCCAAGTTTTATTTATGTTCTGTCTTGGAATGATGGAATGCTTTTATATTTTCCAATGCTCCAGCTAAATATGCAGAAACCTAACAATGAAAAAGCACAAAGAAACTTCACCTAATTACGCTGTGCTGAGAATGTTTGCTCCGTACATTATTCAGGGTACAATACATCAAGATACTTCACTAAATACTGTGCGCAGTACAATTTCCTTATTCTATTGTTGGACAAATGGAGAACACGTCAACTTTTTAAAACMTTGAACTGTTACGACGTCAACTAATTCAATAACGTTGATGGATCTTCCTTATGTTATTGTAAATAAACATATTTCAGTGAAATCTTGCTCAGTCTTAGAGCGGATTAGAGCATTTTGTGACGTCTTTTTTACAGATGCACCATGACTGAATACAAGAAATATGCTTTCAAAAATTGCATTATCCAACTGCTGGATCTGGCTTACATGTACTTTCTAATTTATTAAATATTTCACATATATCTTTAGTCATTTAAGGCACATAACTCCTGTTTCTTTTAATACCTGATTCTATTGGGCAAAAGTATTAGAAAAAGCAAAGCATGAAAAAATGTTGTCATTACGATAAATTGAAAATTGCCTTTTCTTTCGAATTGAGGCCAATCTTGTATTCCCAAATATTGAAGATTTCAACCTTTAGTAAAATTCGGAATGCAAATCATTATGACTTCGGCAATTGAAGCAATTTTTTTCGAGGTTACGTGTAAATTTCGGATAAGACCTCCGTTGTTCAGGAGAATCAGTGTCCGTGGAAAAAAGAATTGAGATGTAGCCTGAGCAAAATAGCACTGGAAACTAGAATATTACCATTGGCACCTTAAGAATCCGACTAAACACGTGCGTTCACACCTTGACAAAATAAAGGCAATAATGGTAAGTTACGGGCATCTTACAAACATTGCGATAGAATGAGTTTGTGACAGCCGGYTTTGGACAAGACCGTTTTCACTGAATCTGATAAAAGACGAAGAGACACAAACCTTGCCTACGGACATGACTTTCAACTAACCTTTGAGATACCGACTGTGTAAAGGCTAAATTGATTTCCAAGTGCAAAAGGAAAAGCAACTCTTATACTTGAATRCAATGCGTTTATCCTTTTAGAGTCCAGTGGTGGTACAATCACAGGCGGATTTGAACCCAACCAATGCAATTACCAGACAAAATCTTCCAAGCAGTAGACGGATAAAAATACATCCAAAAACGAAACAAGAGCTGSAAGACGAGAAAGAACTAGCGGAAGCCCTTGCGTTGCTTTCATTACCAAGTGAATAGATGGAAAGTATATTTTCTTTTCTTTAAAGTATTATAGGTATATAGTTCTGGCGGTGACCAGCAGGTATTGTTTAGARATAAGCAGTAGCATAACTACTGTGCCAGTATGRTCGAAGCCATATTTTTGACTCTGCACTGTACATTGATGCAGAAATTTCGTGTTTTGTAAACATGCTCACTAGRTGGTCTTATTTAAAGGAACATTTAATTGAGATACAATATTTTTAAGTTTAATGGAAAAATCTGGAATCTATATTTTAGATACATACCTAAAAATTAGGTGAAAACTTAACAATGGAGAAACTAAAAGAAGGACTTCTCTATTTGGGTTTACCAAAATTTGCCATATATATAAGAAACCCAACAATCACTGAGGCAAACATGAAGCAAGGTCTCAGTACTCTTAATTGTAAGCTCGTTTCTTCTGTAAATACATCAATCAAATCGGATTCACAAAAGACAATCAAAGTCATATAAGACTCAACAAAGCTCAGGAAAGCTGTTCAGTTGAAAGACATAAACATACAGTAAGCACTGAATCATAATGATTTTCCTAAGAAACCTGTACGTTTTAATATGAGATCGAGTTCAATATGAATTCAATATAACTTTTTAAGTTAATATGACTTTTTTATCTGTTAACCGTGATGATAATCACAAAAGATCTAATGAAAATATTGTATGTCTTTCTCAAGTTTTTCTAGTAGATTAGTAGTGGATACTGATCTCACCATACCAGCATATACCAGGAATATAGACCAGAAAGAAAATAACTTATGCAGTCTATAAACCATGCACTGTTATACTGGTATGGTGTTTTGTGGTCTTATTAAGTACTAGTGATTATAATTGACGACTGGTATTTTTACTTTTGTATTTAACTGAGGTTTAATCGCCTTTATTTAAATAAAGCTGTATTTATGGACAAAAACATTGTTTTTGTTATACTGGTATTGTAATGGTGCAGTGTCTAATTTCTAATAGAATCCCCATGRTACTCCCCTATATTCGTTATGCGGGTACCTGCCGCCAAACAGGGTATTGTTTTCAGCGATTTTACTCTGTAACGGGGTATCAATGTCAACGATTTTTCTSTGGAACAGGGTCAGGAATTAATTCCGGAATTATCGATGCAGGGTAAAAATTCATGGGATAAAAATTCGGTCTGCACGTAGGCTAGTGTTGGATTTTACTCTGGAACAGGGTATAGTTTTCAGCGATTTTACTCTGGAACAGGGTATMGTTTTCAGCGATTTTACTCTGGAACAGGGTATAGTTTTCAGCGATTTTACTCTGGAACAGGGTCAGGGTTTTGAGGTCCCAGGGGCACAACCCCACAAAAGTTGGGGGGAGTATCCCCCCAGGAATAAGTCATGGGTATCATCGGTACGAATTGTACCCTTAGTGAGTCATTCAAATCAGAAAAGGGATTAAAAATAGATTGGTTTCTCTAATAGTGCACATTCCTACAGAAAAATACGTCTTTACCATCGTCGAGTTTAAAAATGCGTGACGGATATCACATTAGTTAGTTAKTTCGGTAATATTGTGTGCTTAGTCTTAAATTTTTGACATCTTCTTAACGCCTAATGGATGTCCTCTTTTCAAAGCTGATCTGTACGTTTTCTTCAATTTGTGGTGAAACATTATGTGGTTTTGGTCGTACGACGATTTATGTCCTTCCCTTTTGTTTTTCTTTTTGAAAGATTCTTTGTGTTTGACATGGTGYAAAAAATTCAATTTGTGTTTTGACTGCCTTGCAATAAAACCATTCACGGCGCCAGAAAACTCAGCTGTTTCGTCTGTATCGTCAGTGTCCATCTCGTCACCAACGTCATTGACGAGATCTTCCATTGCTTTATCTTTATTTCTACCGCCAAGACGAGCTTTCTCATATTTGTTTTGAAGGTTCTTTGCTATCAAATTATCTTTTGACTTTGAGAATAACTTGTYGTCAATACTTTCCATCCAGTCATCAAGTTCCTCACCAGAAGATCCACTTGTATCGATAGTGTCATCACTACTTGTGACGCTTTTGAAATGTCTTTTTTTGTTAGAATCAATTTTTGATATTTTATTGCTGAGGTGTTTCCTCTTTGGCAGAATTTCAGTCTCGATAGGTTCATTGAAATCGTCCTTTACCTTCTTAACGTTAGAAAACGTACTGATATCACTCGACGCATCTTTATTTAATAGATAGTATCGATRTTTTATTTGACCTTTCTTCCCATGGTCATGACGTWMTTGCTTTTTCGTTTCGGCCCTTAATGCTCCTTCAAAGGCTTTTGCAAATTCCTTGGATAGCATACCCACATCTGAATTCTCATCTTGAGCTTGTGGATATGGTTCTGAAAATGGCTGGGGAGTGGGTTTTGTAGTTTGGGTTCCCTGATGTACATATGTAGTTGAATGTGTTAGCCCAGTAGATGGATAYTGATGCGGACCTGGCGATGGATGTGGAGTTAACGATGTAGTAGTAGGGTGAAGAAGTTTTGACAGAGGAAGTTTACTTAACTGTGGAATAGAGACCCCAACAASGGGCACCATGACAACCCCTGGGCTATTCTGCTTATGATTTGCCGCATTAGTCAAAGCCAAAGCAACGGTATTCTGYTGCTGCGGGGAGATCTGTCCAACAGAGAGTGATTGCGGTATGTTAGTACTAACTGCCTGTTGTAATCCACCTAGAGCTGGAGCAGAAAGTGTCTGTGGAATTCCTGCACCTGGCAGASCGTTTCCTATGAGAGAATTGACGCCTGGATACTGTTGAGGTAGATATCCTTGRCCTATTGCTGCAGCAGAGTTCAAAGCACCATTGTTTTGTGGAAATGTTCCRAGACTATTAGCATTATTATATTGTTGAGGAATCACACTTTGCCCCAGACTTAAACCACCTGAATTCTGCARAAGCGTATTTCCAGACATTGGAGCTGGCACCGGATTTATGATTGGAAAATTTTGATTGTTTCCTGCAACGAGTTGTTGTGGTTGTGTAGGCGTTATTGTTCCTGTTTTTGTTTGCTGGCAAGGACAACAACATTGACATTGGTTTCCCTGAGAGCATTGGCAACATTGACAGCATGGCTGGATACATCCCTCTTGTGCCTGGCAACARGTTTGCCCAGRTATGACGTCTAGACTACCTTGTTGACAACAGCTTGGAAMGCAAATGCTCCCACACGGGCAACCATTTCCTTGACACTGACACTGAGAGCATTGTTGAYTGCATGGTTGCTTTTGCTGGCAGCAATTTTGTCCAACGTTTTGAATTCCACTACCTTGTGAACAACAGTTTTGATTCAGAGTACCCTGTTGCTGTTGCGAGCAGCARTTTTGGTTTGCAGCATTTTGAGTGCAACAGTTTTGGTTAGTATTGCTTTGTTGTTGTTGCTGACAACAGTTTTGCCCTTTAGTAGTTTGAATAGTGACACCTCCTCCAGAATTTTGGACAATACCAATAGTTGGTGATCCAAAATTAAGTGGACTGTTCATGTTATTACCTGGAGCCATCGCTTGAGTTAGTACAGGATGATTTTGATTGTTTCCAGATACAGASACTACTGGATAATTCTGATTTCCTCCTATAATAGTGCCTATCTGATTTCCAAGAAGAGGTATTTTCTGATCACCAATTGATGATATCTGGTTGACTAACGGGATATTATTTGTGGAAAGGACTATTGGCAAGGCTTCAGGTTTGGTGGAAGTTATCACTGGAGTAAGGCCTTGGTTGTGTCTGTTTACATTTATGTTCAGATGAACATTATGTCGACTTGACAGCTTTCCTGAAGCTTCATTTTGTGAGACTACGTCAGAGAGTGAACGAGAAGAGGTRCTTTTCTTCRAGATTTGTTGTCCATTCAGTCTTACAACAATGTTTTTACGGCTTCCATTGATATTGCTGCGAACTAGAATCAGTCAAATAAAAGTCATTTAGCTATCGTCGTGATAAGCTGTTAATTGAAAAACGTTTAAGCGAATGCTGTATTTCGAAATATATACGTGCACTTTCTTTGTCTCTACCAGTGGTCACAMTTCTGTCAATCATTGGCCTAATGTATATCATAACGGTCACAGAAAATTGTTTTGGATATAATGTATAGCAACAATAAAATAATGAGCCTCTTGGGCTAGTTGTTATTAGAACATTTCCAAGTGATAGATATTAGCCTGTTTCTGTCTATATAAATTTTGTGTAAAACAACACAAAACAACRGTTACCTTGGTTGTTGTATTTTGATTGTTGTTTTCTCAATCCCCTTATGCTTTCTCGGACATAGGAAAATCTGAATCTTCTTTTTGGTCTTGCATTGATTCCCGTTATAACTGTTACCATTAGAACCAAGAGAAAGCTTAAACTTCCAAACAAGTTCATAGTTATAATTTTTTCTTAAACTTCAAGGAATTTTAATCGCATCTTTTATTTAAACAGGTGTTGGTCACTAACGGAAAGGTCTTAATGTGGTTTAGATTTTTTTTYYYC